CCAGCAGCAGCTAGCAAACCGTAACCAGGTTTGCAAGGCCTCTCGCAGCTGAGCTGCTCGGGCTCTGCCTAGCTCGGCAGCGACCGCTCAGGCCCTGCTTGCTCGCTCTATCGGGTCTTCGCTAAGTTTAGGGTTTAGGGGTTAGGGTTTAGGGTTTAGGGTTTATTACCCCCCTATAATGGAAAATCAAATGGAAAAGAAAATGGAAAATGAAATGGAAACTGGGATTATAGGGTAGTTTATAGGGGTATATTGGGGTTATATAGATTATAGGGGTTATATTGGGGTTATGTAGGGGATAATGGAAAAGAAAATGGAAACTACTATAGTATATTGGGGTTATATAGGGGTAAGGTTTAGGGTTTAAGTCAAAGTTACCTTTGTTGAAGAGGGGACGGTGCTGCCATTCGTTAGGTGAGTTGTGGCTTGCTCACCGAAACGCATTCAAGGAGGCCTTTCTCCCTAGTCCGCGTACCCTGCCCCCTCCCAAGAACACATCCTCAACAAGGCCCCTTTAGGAGGACGGCAGCCTGAGTGGCCATAAAGAATCACAAAGAAAATGTCGTTGTGATGGGGAATCAGATGGAGAGGAAAATGGTACACAAAATGGAAACTGGGCTTCTATAAGGGTTATAGAGTGCCCACTTTGTTGTGGTTGGATCTTTGATCTTGGGGAAGCATGAGGATCCTGGCCCTTCTTTTGTTGCAGAGGCCTGATACCGCAGGCTGCAGCCCCGGGGCCCAGGGTTGAGAGTTTAGGGTTTTGGGGTTGGGGGATTTACGTTTCGAGTTTGGGCTTTGAGGGATTTGGGATTTTGGGAGTGTGGCGTGTGGTTTAGCGTTAAGGATCTGGGTACACAGGGCTTAGTGCCGGACAACAGGAAGGGATTATAGGGATCATAAATTTGACATTCCCAAATATTATAATTCCAAACTGCGATTAATTCGATTTTACATCCATATGACAGCCTGCGTAGTTGCTACGGAAACGCTTTTTTCCTGGAACACCTTCAATCCCTTTTGAACCCATTAAAGTCCTACACAATCTATACAAGAAAAGCCCGGCACAGCAAGGAGAACTCTGCTGTTGAGAAACCACTCTACAGTCTACATAAAACCCAACCTGAGCCTGTGATCTTTTCAAGTCCCACATTACACAATCCGCGAGCAACTCCTGCTCTTCAACTTCCGCAAAAGGAGGAGTTGTAATGACCACCACTTGCAGCCGGGTTACACCTGCCAGGCCGCGAGGTCGCAAGAGCCGAGTACTGCCTGGCCGGGTGAAGGTCTTGATCCTCCCAAGTTTTCATGGGAAGTAAGGACTCTAAAGTCAAAGCGCCCTCTTCCTGGCGCCAGGAAATTTTGCAAACAAGACCTTGAACTTGTGTATTATGGGCTGCACTCAACATCTCCTGTGCTCACATTGACGACGCCGACGTCACCCCTCACTAGCCACTTGCATTGCTCCAACAGGCTCCCATACATCCATCCCATGCTGGCAGCTTCTCTGATTGCAAATGCAGGCACAACAGAGCACCTGACAAAGATTGTTATGGAAACGTATTTCATCACTTCTCTAATAATAAAATGCAAGTAGCAGCGGGTCTACAAGGCACCTAAGGCAACATCCGTCTCAGTGCTCGCTCGTAGTACCAGGGAATGTGCTGCACCGACCTCAGCATTGGTGCTTTGAGCTGGGTGTTGAAAGTTTGGAGTCTTCGGGTTGACATATCCGAACTTCACTAAGAACAATGGGATCAGCAAATTGCGTCGTGGTTCCAATGAGGCAGTACTCCATGCAGAGACACCATCCAGTAAGAAGCCAAAGGCATGAACAGCATGCCTGAACCGATACTGCTCTCTCCTTCATACTAAACCGCAACTCACCCTTGTAATGATGGAATGTCAGCCGACATAAAACGGCACTATATTTGGTAATGTCTGCTTGTAGACTGTTTCTGAGGGAAGCGATTGCTTCCGAGGTTTCAAGCTTCCAAACGAGGAACCTCAGCTTATGCACCTACTGCCACCAGCGACCACATGAACTCCCCAAATTCATTCTCAGTTAAAACTTACAGAACCATAGGCGGTTACAAACGACAGCCGTGGGCTTCAGGCTTCTTTGCCGCCAGCTCTGTCATTCGCTCCGGCAGATCCTGCTTTAGGACCTGAAGGCGATGATCAAAGCGATAAGTTTTTTGAAACGACCCAAACGTTCAGAGCAAAGCTTAGGGTATGCGGTTGTTGCAAGGGATGTCACAGCGTCTCTTTCCCGAATACATCATCTCCGCACGTGCTCGGCTCTAGCAAAATCTACAGGGCAAAAGTCTGCAAACTGGCCTCACTTCCAGTTTGTTTAGGATTCATGCTTCAGCTTCTAGAGAGATCCCTGACTGGCTTGAGCTTTGTGGCCCCCTTTGACAACTCCCAAGATCTCTACAGGAACCCAGTCTAACCTTGTGTAAGCTCTGTCTTCTGCTTGCAAACTCCCCTGCTGCTGTCTGCTGGCTTCCCGTACACACTTCCTTACCGTTACATACCCCCTTTGGGTCGTTAGAAAAAAACTACCTTGGCAAATTCGCAAGGTCTTGCTAGACCCCGACAGAAGCCCAATGTGCTATTTGGTAGTTTCCCAAAATAGGGGAACCCCAATATAGACCCCCAAAATACTGTAATCCTTATCATTAGGACCCCCAAAAAGGTACCCCTAATTTTGGGAAATCCCCATTTATAGTACTCATAGTAGCAACTTAATTGCCATGCTTGAGGCAACCCCGATTGGTTTGCACGAGGAGACTGGGACGGAGGCTGAAGTTTTAGGCCCTTCTTGGGGAAGTTATATAATGGTTTAGGGTTTAGGGGGTTTAGGGTTTAGGGTTTAGGGGTTTAGGGGTTTAGGGTTTAGGGTTTAGGGGTTTAGGGTTTAGGGCACTGTAGAGGGTCCAGAGAGAGTACGGAAAGGTCATAAATGCTGTACACGATGTGCCTCTCTCAGGGGAAGCTGTGTTCCAAGGAATCTTCCTGGCTCCTCAAGTGTCCTCCCAAAAATTGCTGCGAACAAGGCCCCTGCTCTGTCGATCAAAGCATTTCGCTTGACAGACTTTCTTTGCGCCTGCCAGCACTTGGAGTTCAGGATGGGGTGTAGGGTTTAAGGGTTTAAGCTTATGATGGATGTTTAAGAGTTAGGGGTTACGGGCTCAGGAGTGACTAAAGACTTCAGCCAGAATCAAAAGGATGGAGCTTCCAGAAATGGGAATCTCCGCAGTTTAGGGTTTAGAGTTTAGGGATTAAGGTGTTGCTGGGGTTTCATCCATGCACGTGTTGGCGGTTGTCAGCAAGTGGAGGACTGGAACACTGTAAAGACAGACACGTCCCGAAGACAAGTTAACGTGGTAGCTTCCAAAAAACGAAGGGGCAGTCTTGCCTAAAGAGCCCTACCACAACTCAAATGCCTCAAATCCCCACAAACCCCATCGAAGCCCAAAAGCAACCCACCTGCGATTCTGCAAACTCCGTACCCGTAAACCCTGAACTGCCTTAAGCCACTATGCAATCGCATGACCCCAGAAGGAAGTTCTTACAAACAAAATCCAAAACATGCGTCAACCGCGCTGTTCTTGCTCCACCTACAGCTCCCAGCATTTGGTGTACTTGTGGTGGTGTAGGCTGTCTGGCATCCTCAATATCAAGCCCCCGAAGCCGGAAACCCTGAACACCAAAGTTATCCTCTAAAGACCATGCCTTAAACACTACATATGAGCATATTCTAAACTCCTAGTATCCCCCTTTAATAACCCTTATAGTAGTCCCCTATACAATCCCCTATATAACCTCCTTTCTGGAGCTTAGACTATAATACATATGCAACTCCAAAGCTCAAACCCCCCTAGCCCTGTCAACCTCCATTCTTGACAGCTCCCTGAGCTTGCTCGTTGATAGCAGGGACTCAAGGAATCGGGGAGAAAATGGTAAATTGGGGATTCTAGAGAGTGTAACTATGGGGATCCATTCCTGCCTGCTCCTACTACCCTAACCCTGGAGAAGTGGGCCTCAAGAACCATGGAGGCGCCAACCGTGCGGATCAGAGCACTCTGCATAAAGAAATACTCGGTGTCCTTGGTTTGAGGCTTTCAAGGTCTTTGGGCTTCAGGGTTCAGGGCTTGAGGGTTTCGGAGTTTTGGAAGTTAGGGTTGGCGACTTCAGGATTTGGGGCGTGCATTTTAAAGGTTCTTGAGCCAGCTTGGGATCTTTGAGGCTAGGATGTAGGAGCGCGTAGATCCCCACTTGACTTCAGGCTAAGAAGGGCTCTGTTGGACTTGTAGGGAATATGTGAGCTATAGTCTAAACTCCTAGTATCCCCCTTAATAACCCCTAAAATAGTCCCCTATATAGTCCCCTATATAACCCCCCTTTAAGGAGTTTAGACTATAATACATGTAGAGTTTGGGGCAGCCCTGAGCTCGTTATTCTCACAAGTCTGGATCCTCTTCTTGCGCCCTTAGTAGATGGACTCCGCCTCTCGTAGCTTGGAAACCGTAAAGGTGGACCTACCTTCAAGAAATGGCGGAGTCACCGTAAGAAACTTTGAGCTCTGTTCGTAAAGGAGATAGGCGTGCAGCCCTGAAACCAAGCCCAAAAAGAAAGAAGGAACACTAAAGTCAACACCCAAAAAACCACAAACCCTCGAAGCCAACGCGTGGACTTCGTCCCGAGAAGTCCAGGTTTAGAGCCGCAGTGGCTTGGACACGACACGATCGGGGCTTTAGGTTTATGGCTTAAGGAGGTTCAAGGGTTTAGGGTTTAGGGATAATGGAAAATCAAATGGAAACTACTACAATGGGTTTAGGGTTTAGGGCTTATATTGGGGTTATATGTCTTAAGGAGGTTCAAGGGGTTATATTGGGCTTACAGAGGTTATATTGGGATAATGGAAAAGAAAATGGAAACTACAGGGATTATAGGGGTTATAAAGGGATTATAGGGGTTATATTGGGGTTATGTAGGGGATAATGGAAAAGAAAATGGAAACTACTACATTATGGGGTGTATATAGGGGATACATTTGCTTAAGGTTGCAGTTAACGGCTTGGGATAGAGGATCTACATGTAGGGCTCGGAGATTTGAGTTTACGCCTTAGGACTGAATCTGGATTTTCCTGTAGGAGCTGACGGGAAGACAGCGTAGCCTAGGGATTTCTACTATGCCTACAACTGAAATTTCATCGTTGGCCCACCTACCCAACACATCATCCCAAACCCGCCTAAGATTTCTACGTACAACTACAGACAAAGGAGAAACAAGAAAGCAACAATCCTACACAACATTTTAGGCTGTCCAGACCACCACCCCACTGCCACCACTCAGACTATACCGTATCTCAGACTGTAAATCTTGAACCCCTAAACCCTAAACCCTAGGCCCTGACCTGTGAATAACCCGTCTTCCCATATCTCCCCATGAAACCGGGCCCAGGTGCTCCGAAGTTGTTGTCACTACCAGAGCTTCGAGGGCTCTGGGTGCTGGTGGGCGGAGGCACCTCGCAGTTGGCTAAGTTTCAGGGTTCAGGGTTTAGAGTTTAGGGTTTAGGCTTGAGGCTTAAGGAGTTACTCATGGGAATCCAATGTAGGCCCAAGTAAAGCAGCAGGGGTTGATCTCAGTAGGAAAATTCATCATGATTTAAGCTCTCTTGGAAAGCTCCAATCAGGGATGCACCTGGGACGCATGCACATGGCAAAGGCAAGCTCCTTAGGTTTTCTGGATGTATCCCCGGCCACGGGGTCCTCGTCTCTGTCTTTTAGAAATCCAAGGCAGACACAACCTACCTTTAGTCCTAAGACGAAAGCCCTCATCTCTGAAGCCCCAACATGGAAAAGTTGCAAAGTCATGTTGAATCTTGCACGAATGCTCAGAAATGCACCACCATGCGTTCACTACATTGAAGAGTCCTCAAAATGATGCTAGCAAGAAACCAAAAAATCATAGTCCTCGGCGAACAGGGGACGAAAAAGGAATACCTTGGGTCCTGCCCCCACCCATTACCAGTCTATAATAGGGATCAGATTCAGGGCTCTACATAACCACATTATAAAGATTATCCAACTGTTAGTGAGTGGGGGCACTACCCAAGGAATACCCACAATATCTGGACACAAGTTCCACACCCTAGATACACAAGATGCGAGCTCCTCAAAAGCATGCAATCCCGAAAGGGGACTGGTGCCCTTTCTTCCCTCGTGACTTGTACAGCCCCTAGCACGCCAGGAAACAACCGAACCCAAAGTTCAACAAGCCCGAAACTCCCCCTGAATCCTGAGTTCTAAGAGCCCCAAACCCCCTGAACGCTGTACCGAATTCCCCCCTAAGCCCCAAACTTGAACCCCCCCCAAAACCCAATAATGAGCGCTGGGCCTTGTCTATGAAACCTCTGGAAACCAGCTTCCTGGTGGCTCTGAAGAGGCGCAACCTTGGAAAGTCTCCATGCTTTCAGGCGAAGGCTTCATCGTTTACAATTGAGGGTTTAGGGATATAGGGTCTAATTCAAGGCAAGAATACAGGTGGCGATATTCTTTACAGGTTGACATGTGCATGAACATAGAGCACCAACGAGATGTCCTGCTCTATGTCATTGGTTGTAAGCTGTTCCGAAAAGCGCGCTTTCCGCATGTCTCCTTGTACTCTTACACTCGAAACTTTAAACATCATGGATTGAAAAACGACGATCCCAAACGCATGCAGGCACACAAAAGGCCAACAAACCCCCAATACTACCAATAATCAGAGTAACCATCCTACTGTTTGAAATGATAATGATTGTCATGCTCTCGGTCCCTCTAGGTACCAGAGTATCCATGCTGGACCCAATAACCCTGAGCCTCGAAAAATGGAAGCAACACATCGCAGCCCATGCAAACAACAAAGGAGAAGGCTCCACTGATTCAGTTCCTCATGAGGTTCTCTTGGGCGTAGGCGTTGGGCTTAACTGCATGGCTTACATACTCCCTACTTAGGGACCCCCATAAGCCCCCCCCTACTGGCCATACATCGGGTCCCTGGTTGCCTCTCTCTTGCTAAGCACAGCTAAGTCATCCGCAGGTCGAAGTGCGTTGAACCGCCCCACTGTGAGCAGTTGCCTCACCACAGGGCAGTTGTGACAGTCTCTTCTTGCCTGGGTTCTGGGGATTGCATAAGGAGCACATAGCGCTACAACTCCAGCGGCTATGGGTAACTCAGAAAATTGGGGGAGGACATGAAGGCAGGGTTTCACCAAAACACGGACTCCCACAAAGGAAGTTCCTGCTGTCCTCAAAGGGGTGTAGCGCATGCAGTCTTGTACTAGATTTCTCAAGAGTGTGTATTCCTGTGGTGTTGCCATAGGGAACCCTGACTTTGAGATACTCCGTGATTAGAGGAGGTTCTGTTTGGGCATTTGCCCCAGGGAATTGCATCAATGAGCTTGTGGAAGACGACCCCGCATGCAGCAAGACTGCTCTAAAACTTCCACAGAGGATCACAGCTGCTGCCTTCATCAAGCCTCTACAGTCTGCACTTGCAACCATTAAATTGTCAGCCAAAACCCTCAGCAGCTGAGAGCCCGTCTCGCAGCCAAATCGGGAAGGGTAAACGGCCCTTCGAAGCAGGTTGACATCTTCAGCGCCGCCATCTGGGCAGGATGCATGGAATTCGCAAACTCTGGAACTCTGAAGCAGAAGGCAAACAAATGATAGGAATACCCAATGCGTGGCAGCAAGAGAAAGGAAAACCTTAATGCTTCGGCTGTTACGACCAATTCAGTATTGCTTCATGATATGGGCCCATATACATGTGCTTATACTTACATAGAGGGCCTGCGCAAACTATGCGAGGACATTTTCCCGCTATCTACTTACAAACGCAACTACACAACATCCCTGGCCTGTACAAAGTCCTGAACAACCACTTCTTATGTCTATCCTATGAAGCATAGCAACTACGCAGACTAGGTGGGCAAGACAATCTACACGCGCTTACGCTACACAAGACTGCTCCGTTCCGCCCTGCAGGCCTATGCAGGCCGAAGGCCATGCGAGCACTCTTCAAGCTTCATTACCGTCATAGCTCTTACACACCCGAAACAAATGCTGCTCAGTTGGGGTCATCTGCCTTACAACAATCAAAATCAGGATCATGTTTCTTGACCTTGTTAGGAGAAATTGGCAGGACTCCCAAAACGCGCATTGACGGAGTTGTGAGTTGTGGCTTACTGCTTGCTCTCTGAAAGAATCTTCAAAATCAGAGCCAACCCCTGGGAAACCCTCAAGGCGTGAGACCGTGAGCACCTCAACCCTGAAACCGTAAACATCTCAACCCAAAGCTCAGAACCCTAAGCCCTAAACAACGTTCAGCCTCCTAAGCTCCCAAACCGCCAGACCCTGGCCGCGCCTCGATCGGATCCAGCGACTCGATGTTACAGACTGTCCCTCCCACCATCGCTGTGTGGTTCCAGGCCTTTGCGCGGCTTAAGATTTAGGGTAGTCTGGGTTGCTGTTATAGGACGTTAAATTAAATTACTATAACAAGAAAACCCTAGTATGTACTATATACCCACGTGGTAACTGGAATTAAGTTCCTTAACAGCAACCCAGTAGTTTAGGCCTCTTGGTTTGGGGTATGGGTTTAGGCTGGCTAGTTCAAGGGTGGGGTATTAAAGCCAATGGGATTCTACAACGGTGCGTTCGAAGAGATTCCAAGGATTTTGCTTTATCAATATGATGGGTGGCTACAAATTGCAGTCCAAATCAGGTTACAACTGTAGATATGCATCTGATCACCATTCAGAACTGCCCATGATTCTCCTAGGGTTGAAGAGGGGGCTGGGAGATAAACCTTGCAAAGGCTTTGCATTCGTGCTCTTTGGGCGGTCGAAAATATGATTGAAAAACAAAGGCGTACACAAAGCAACAAAGCCTTTTGTAGACCTGAGGTTTACGGATTCAAAATTCGGGTATGAAGTTTGCTGGCTCAATATTGAGCATCCCAGTCCCAGATCCGGGTTCCCAAGGAGGTTCTAGGAAGTGACACATGTAGACCTAGGTGCAAGAACGCCCTTCTGTTTGATGGTGACGGTTCCGACAACACACTTTGAGGCGTACTGCCGTTGTTTGGAGGACAATTCAAAGGTTCAGCAATAGAAGGCTGAGGTGTAGGCCGGAATACCGGATGGGAGTATCATTGAGTTCTGCCGAATATGAACACTTTACGGCTACAAGTAGCATGGGGATCATCTTGAGAAATGGCCCATTGTTGGGGTCGGAAAGGTACACCTATATGGCTATGGGAACTACCGTTGCGGTTATATAACCGGTTGCGAAAATCATGGTCCTTTCTGGGTATCCTTCATCCATTCTCATGGGACCCAAAAAGAAATCACACGGACTTCTATAGGGATCCAATCCGCTCCCATACCTTACTAAACACCAGTACCTACTTGCTGGGGAAGAGAATATATTGTATAGAGATTATATAGGGATTACCTTCCATTCCCTACTAACCCCGCGGAAGCTTAAGGACTTCTAAAGTCTTCTTACTTTCCATGTCTATCCCTGGGATGCGGAGTATGCACCACTGCTTCCTTCACACCAGCCTTTACACAAGTTGAGGACATGAAGTGCCCCTTTTTTGGCCAAAGGAGCCAATGGAATCCTATGGGGCGACTTACGTCCTCCCTCTGTAATCCCTCTATGTCCCTAGGTTCCCGGGTCCCTGAGGGCCCCGATTGTTGAAAACCCCCAAACAGAAACCCTGACTCCAGAAGGCATACCGAACCCCACCTTCGAAATGCAAGATTTTAGGAGCTTCAGGGTTTATAGTGTCTCAGACCCAGAACATTGGTCTGACACCGTGCTGCTGTCTTCACACTGCTGACTGCTGACATGAGATCCAGGAATATCGACGAAAGTACTGACAGCTCACAGATTACTGTTTGGCTGGAACAGAACAATAGTCATCAGTCATTAGATAAAACAGGAGTTGGGAACTGAGCAACAACCCTACTCGCGCAGAACATGCTGTCTCGCTGCAGTCTACCTAAACCCCGAATGTACTTCCTTTTCAACGGTTCGTCCTGAATTTGTTCTGGAGGATAGTAGAAATCCAGCTTACCAGGTAGAGAGAATAAAGAACGTCAGCGCAAGCATGCGGGAGCTTCCCCAAAAAAAGAGACTGTTTGCTGAGAATACTAGAAATACGACTGATAATAAGAACAATGATAATAATAGTATTGATACTAACAACTAATAATACAACTAATCATGAACCCACTGTCTGATACAAACGTTGGGCTCCTATGATGGCCCAACAGGTTTAGGGTCTAGGGTTTCCCGTTATTGCAAGTGTCTTTCTGAAGAAGAAACCCCAAATCCTAGAACCTCACACCCCAAATCCTAAACCGAAAACCCTAAATGAGGCAGTCTGTCACAGAAAGTCTGCGCAAGAATCCATGGCCCCCGACGGAAATGTCTATCTTTTCGAGCGCTCCAATCAGAGTCGCCGAGGCTCCGGGCTTTACCTGTCCAAGTTAACCGAAGCAAGTTTTCGGGTCGTTTGCATAATCTAGTCTTGGGGTTGAGGGTCTTGGGCGATTCAGGGTTATGTGCCCGACAGGGATTTATAGGAGCTTTTAAAAAGCTATAGAGACCATCTGGGGGCTATATAGGGATCCAAAAGGCTCAGGGATAGAATAATGGAAGCTCTAATTGAAAATGAACAGAAACTGAACTCATGTAGGGATGTAATTGTGGGAGCCTGAGTAAGGACTTCGGGTATGTCACGTTATAACTATATACAAGCTATAAGAATATGATACTGGCAATTCATCAGGCTTCTACATTGACTGAAGCGCCTGTTTAGGGTTTAGGCTCCAATAAACGGCTTAGGGAACCGTAGCCCAGCTCGTTACTTTGGACAGCACACGCGCATGTTGCATTGAAGTCATCCATGGTACCTCCCGGGACCAAACTGGGCCAACATGGGTTTCCATTGTAGTTTTAACGGAAGGTAGTTGAAGGACAAAATTGTCTCCGACTTGGTCTGCTGGAACATGAATTCCCCTGCAAGATCCCTGCAAATCAGACAATACAGAGCCTCATGATCAGCCAGTAAGCTCAAAGCAAAGTCTGAAAATCCCTCCAAATAGCGATAGACCCCTATATAATCTGAATGCATGCCAGCAGTAAACTCCAAAAGAAGGATCGAAAACTTCATGACGTGCCTTCCTCAATTCACCCAAAGCCTAGGAATCACCGGAAATCTGTAACCTCATCCTCAAACCCTAAACCCTCAACCCCTTCAACCTCCAGGCTCAAACCCCACTGGCACCGGCAGCCTAAACCCTCAGCCCTCGAAACGCACGTCCGGGGTTCCATGAATCGAAGAACTCCCAAAATCGATCTCAGCACAATCCTTCTCATGAGTGCCACCAACAAAAAGGCCTGTAAGTTTCAGACACCCACACATGAGTAGTGTTTTTTTGGTGGTTGAACCTAGTAAGATTATGTTCCTTATATAAAATACTATACCCCAAAAGGAGGATAGAATCTCACTCTATAGTGGGTACCATAGTATCCCCAAATGAAATACGACTCACATCCCTACAGGTCTGCCGGTGTGCCTTGAGGACGTTCTCCTCGCCGAGCTGGTCCAAGGTTTCGCGGATATACAGCGGATTGCCCATGGTCACCTCGAGGCAGCGGCATTGGCTACAAATGTCAGCTCCATGTTGCCATCTTCATTCCACAAGAATTTCGAGTAGGAGAAACGGAAGCTGCAGTAGTGGTGGTGAAGGCAAGTCTTAGCGCAGCACAAGCACTAACAGAACTTCAAGTAGTACTAAAACAAGTATAATACAGCGCTAAGAGTGGCGCTACTGACACCGCCAGCAAGAGGAGGAATGATAGAGTTGCAAAAGCAACACAGACTGCAATATTACAGCAACAGTAACAATGACCACAGCAATAGCACTCATGGTACACGAAACTATAACCAGAGTGAGAGCGCTAAGCTCCCCCAGCCCTGAACCCCGCCTGTGAGACAAAACGTCTCAGGGGAGGCGGCACGGCTTCCTCTGGGATCCCTAAGTAGTTGGCCATGTACTCCAGGATGTGCTCTTCCTTTGCGAAACGGGAGGCTAGAGGTTTGAAAGGTGTGGTACCTTTGCGGGAACTGAGATCACAAAGCTGTTTGCGGTGGTGTAGAGCTACGTGGTTCTTGCAGTTGGGAGTGTGGGGCTTAGTGATTTGCATTGTCTTTGGGGGGGAATAAATGGAAACTTCCCTAGATGGAACTGCCATTCAGGGTTTAAGGTTAAGGGTTGAGGGTTTACCATGAATACTTCCCTCTGCTTCATGGGTTTGACAAGTATCCCACTGATGAAAACAAAATGAAAAAACTCATGCGAGCTGCTGAGGATCAATGTCGTGCCTGGAGTTTGGGACTGGGTGGGTATCCTTTAGCTCTTAGGTCTGACAAAGAAAGTTTTGGTTTATAATCCAGGTTCCATCTCATGTACCATTTTCTTTTCCCACTGAGTTTCCATTATTATTCTAGAAAATACACCTCACCCTATATGTCCATACATTCTCCTTATATATCCACGTAGGTTGAGATGGGTTCACAGTCGAATGAGGGACTACGGATGACATGTGAGTCTCATGTGACTCTGTAACCTATCATCTAAACCCTTAACCCTTAACCTTAAACCCTAAACGCAAAACCCTCAAGCCTAAACCTAAGTGGCAGCTAAAGCCGACAAACAGCGTCGTGCCCTCAGCTTGAAAGCCTCAGAAGCCTCGAGACCCTGTTTGCAATTTCAAGCCCACCCTTCAAAAACCTCACCCTTGAATTTCTGTTACTCTTTTAACCCGAAATCCGAAATAGCCAAAAAAAGCTAAAGTCGAAAATGCACGCGAAAAATTGCCCACAAATCGTATGAAGCCTCAACACAGACCAGGGTCATACTCTTCAACCTTTGGCGTGCTCAAAGAGAACTAATGCAGGAAGGCGGGAGGCGCGTGTGTATGTAGATACTTTCCTTCAACAGCTTTAAACAGCCTTCAACTTTGAATCTCTACACCACTAGACCAGGAGGCCTTAGCCAAGATTTAAAGTAGCGGAGCGTCGTTGAGGCCCTTGAGGGTCAGCAACGTGCCGGCCGCAGCGGCATCTTTGACACACTGCTGGTCGTGTTGCGCCTGGTGGGATTGTAACGCCTACGGGTCTAGGATTCAAGGTGATCAGTGGAGAGTTCAGGGTTGCCACTTAAAGGTCTTTCTTTGGGGGTGGCGGTGATGGCTTGGGGTTCAAGCCTGGGAGCTGTACCAGGCCCAACGAGACAGGATTGAAGAGCAGCTGTCGAGTATCAGAGTTCATATCTTGCGACCAGCGGTTGGGGACATGGACTCCACGGCAAAAAAAACATAATTGGTCAGAGGATTGAGGCTCGAAATCCTTTTTTCGCTGACTGATAGAGTATGAGGGCCGATCCTGAGAAGAGTTGGTGGCGCAAATGACTGTTGACACTCCGCAAATTGCTCAGTTGAAGCCCCGAAAGACATGGCTTATGTCTGGAACATTGGGAATTGCAGTCTTCAATTTGCGGCAGCCTATCCTCCGCGAACTGTGACACGCACCTCCTAGACCCTAAAACTTGCCCCTTGAATCTACCACGCCCTATTTGTCACGCAGCAAGTTCACCTGAACCTGCAGTTGTAAACCTCAAAAGCCTAGGATCCTAGGAAAAGTTCCAAAGGCTAGCATCGCCAACAAACAGAGTCGCTTACTGTAGCTCCTGGCTTTGGGCTAATCTGGTTGGACTTATCATGGTCCACCATACTGCTATACCTACATGTCCAACTCAAGCTTATATAGGCTCATGTGATGACTGCCTCTCGCACCAGTACCAGGCCCGAAATGGACCTCTCCTGCACAACACAAGGCTGGTGCAAGGCTTTACGAGGACCTACGTTTGGAATTGTGGGCTTGGGCTTTGCAGTTTCTACACCTATGATGATTGTCAGCAATGGAAATGTCTCGAAAGGCCTGACGAGGTAAGGATCAAATCGTGCATGGATGACATTAATCTTGCTGACAGTGTGCTGGAAGCCAAGGCTAAGTCCCTCAAGGATATCAAAATCCACGGCTCACGTGCGCCTGAAACTTCCTGTAGCAGTTGCAGGCAGTCTGAACTTCTGCGAACTCAAAGCCAAACGCACCACACATCACCATGAATAGATTCCTGATGCAAAGCGAAAGTGCGAAACCAAAACACGTCCCGCCAACACTCCCTCAGCCCAAAGCCTTGCAGTCACCACGCTCGAAAAACAAAAATTGAAGTGAACTGCTTCCTAACCCAGTATAAGAGCACCGGAATATGTTCTTGCAGTCAGTGGCTGTTAGCTGGTGTTTTGGGACACTACGGAAACCCAAAAAAAAGCCAGGCAAACGTTGGAGCCTGTTTCCATACAGAGACACCCACTACAACGTGTGCACGCCAGGGGTTTTAGTTGTTTGTGGTCCACCTGACAAACACCAACAGTTCTAGAATTTGCTTCCTACAAAATCTCACGACTTTGCAAGTGCATTTCACCCAAAAAAACCTTTCTTGGATGGTCTGCATGAGAGGGACGCGGTATGGAAGAAACCCTGAGTCTGAGAAATGCCTCTACATCCCTGCGCATGTTCGGTGAATAATATGCTTACGGTCCCCTTGCAAAGTACTTGCCTCTATCCTCAAACAGTAAATCCGCAATGCTTCATGCTCTTGCACCACATGCTGGAGAATGATAGAAAGTACAGACCTTGGCGATGAGGATGCTGAGCTCGGACGTAAATCTCCAAAAGATGGCCTTGAGATAAGAATCGTAAATGGGGATTACAGCGAATTCTTTCCCAATAATGGAGAATCAAAAGCAAAAAGAAAGTGAAACATTAAATAGAGACCGTGACTATTTGCAATTCATTTAAAGCCTCTACAGTAAATGCTGTGCCCCGCATTGCGAAGGTTCATGTTGAGAGTCCCAGCATCTCAGAGGGACTAACAATATCGGATGTGGTTTGAAGAATTACGCTTGCTGTCTTGATGGTGGTTGCTTGAGTTCTACCTGCTCGCCTGAAAAAGGGACCAGAAAAAAGCGACGCGTAGAAAGAGATGTGAAAACTGCATAAAAACTCCTTGCTCAGACCGCTTTATTCTCTCAAAACAACTTAGGGCTTCATGCGCATCCTTCCGCAGGCTTGAGGTTGCGGCTGCAGGTATTGGGTCGTACAACTGTCATAAGCTATGTGGGCTAGAGGGTTCAGTCGTCTGTCCAAGCACCCCGAACGTCAGTGATTTTCCCTGATTACTCCCTGGAAGAGATAGTTCACTTATTCTTCACTTGTTTGAGAGCAAGGGCTGAAAGAGCAACGCAACCGACGAAAGAAAGAGCAGTTGTTGTAGTAGTTGTCGTCATCATGCCGCCCATGCTAGACCACTGCTAACACCACTACTACTATTACTCTCACTACTACCACCACCACCACCACCACCACCACCACGGCCGCCGCCACCTGCACCGCCACCAGCACCAGCAGCAGTGCAAGCGCCAGCCCCAGCCCCCAGCCGCATGAGCAGCCCCAACACCAACACCGCTGCTGCCGGGACAACCTCTTCTTCTACTCCTCCATCTATTGCTACTGAAGGAAAAGATTAAGTAGAAGCAGAAGATGAAAAGCAACTCGCCTACTGCAGCCATGAGAACAGGAAGATGGTGGCAATGCAAAGCCGGATAAGCCCCATAATGCTGATTACACAGTCCTAAGACACCTGGAATCCAGGTCGACCCAAGCCATCCGATCTATGGAAAGACTGCAAGGGAAGACGAAAGACTTTGTCCCAACGTCGGAGTCTGCATCATGCCCAGCCCACATGTTGGGTACCCTGTCGCGCCAGCTTAAAGCACCGAGAAGAATTCAAGCTGCAACTTGCAAGACGCAGCCCTCCGCCCTGAGTCATTGGGCACCAGACTAAATCATCTTTGGCAGTCTTCTCAAATAGACTCGTCCCCTGCACTTCAGATAGCTTGGCGAGGGTGGGTTTGTCGGGGTTTGGCACCAATCCAGTTTGGATTCTATGGTACAAGTACCACAGAGAGAAGACAGATTGCGATATACTAAGCTACACTTGCACTAGATAGTGAGGTGATGACAATACACGCGCCCGCAGAGGGTTCCAGCAGCGCTACGAGGTAAAGCGGCAGATCAAAACAGTACGATTGTGAGTGACCCAGCACTGAGGTCGAATGCTTTTGGAGCTTGGTGATCCAGGCCATCAGGGTTTGCATCAGATTGAATTGCAACGATGCCGTCTCCCAGCCTGCTCGAACTGCAGAACTACCAGAGTTCCTGCGCGAAGATCGGTCTCTCCAGACTTAGCGTTGGGATTCTGTTTTGGACATCTACGAAACAAAACTTAAGCATTGGCACACCTGTAGTCTCTGGCTCAGTGTTTCAGGCGAGGGCCCTGACATTGGCGCTTGCAGGGCTTACTTGCTGGTTCTAGCGACTGGAGCCCCCCATGAAATACCCCATCGTACCATAATCTCCACTTCCATGTCCATTCTCTAAACCTGAAACCCTAAGAAAACCCTACAGTCGGTTCCCTTTTCCTTTTGTTGCCTTAACCACCAGAAAGTTTAGAATTTGATGTGCGCCGCACTGCTCTCAGCTTTGGAGCTTTGAGCGATGAGGCAGTGCCTGAATTCTGAATTTCAAGTCATATGCGTAGTATCCGAGCAAGGAGGCACCTCAAAGCCTTCTGATCAGCAACGTGATTGTTGTCAGACATAGAGAGAGTAATTGGCCCTAAACCCTAGACTCTAAACCCTCAACCCTGCATCCTTCACTGTAGCTCGTATCTGCTTTTCCACTCCCTAAAGCCTAAACTCGAAACCCTCTAACGATCGTCAGGCTTCCACATCAAGCCTTAGAGCTGGCATTCTCCAAATTGGGATCCTAGTGGCATATAAAGACTGAAACAAGGATTACGGGGGTTATTACTAAGGATTGTGTGCGCGGGCCAACTTCGAGAAACTCATCCCACTCTTTCAAAGCGATTGGGAGTTTGTCCTACTAGCTGGTTCATCCTGCGTGGCACTTTGGATGAAAATAAATCATGCCAGCAGCCTATTGGATAGAAAGCTGTCAAGGTACATAACTAAATTGGTCACGGCGGCATACACACCCGGTCAAGCTTGCACAAAAAGGCCTACTTGCGACAAGCGCCCGTGTGGGAACTCTGGAACGCGCGCGTCCTGCTTTGTTCTTGAGTCCGGCAAGCAGGGAGATGATCACCTGCAGCAGAACATGTGTGGGCCTTTGGTTTGCTGCTGCAAAGCAGATTACTACCTGACGTTTCCTAATCAGTAATAGACATCACATCCCTAGAGTATTCCCACACATCCCTCTGCAATAGTCCCTACAGTGGCTCATACCTTTGATTGGCCGGCAATTTTGGAATCATATCAACACACCCATTTGTTGCTCGGCCAACTCACTGCGAGTCTACATGCTGATGGAACTGCTATACCTGCATTCATAAAACAGCCTGCTAGCACACATCGTAACCATATGATGGCTGATTCTTGAGTTTGTTCCCCTTATCCCTCCAGCAGAATGACATGATTAGCCGCCGCTTGGCCTTCATGTAAAATGTCCGACTCCAGGCTGTACTGGCAGTCTGGTGTTCGGGAGGGTCTCAACCAGCAAACCGACGAAAGAAAAAAAAAAAATCAGATGGACCCCTAACCCTAAGCTGCCTAAACCCTTGACCTGGACTACCAGGACCAAATGGCTCCAACCTGAAAATCCTGCTGGATACTCTGATGTCTTAAAGAATAAGGGGTTTGGAATGGTTTAAGGCTTTAGGGTTGTAACCCTCTTCTGACCTGCTAGAAAATTGTCACGATTACAATCCTTTTTGGGTACTTGGAGCCGCAACACTAAAATCCCGATGAACCTTGTACAGCCTCGCAAGCTCTACAAATCCTACATGATAGTTTCCCGAAGTAAGGGGACCCCAATGTAGACCCCAAAATATTATGATCCTTCCTATTGGGACCCAAAAATGGTACCCCTAATTTTGAGAAACCCTAAACCCTAAAAGATCCCTTCAATCACCGTGGGACCCGCCTTCAGAGCCACCTCCAGCACGGCCGCCGTGTCTTCCAGCGTCCGATGGGTGAGGAGGCTCCGGAGCGAGTCTAGGCTCCCAGCCTGGAGGATGGGAGTTATATAGGGATAATGGATATGGGGTATAATGGAGAATCAAATGGAAAAGAAAATGGAAAATTAAATGGAAACTGGGATTATTATGGTTTTGGGCTTAGAGATGTGGAGGATGGGGTTATAGGTTATATTGGGGTTACATTAGGGGTTATATTGGGATAATGGAAAAGAAAATGGAAACTATAGGGACTATATAGGGATTATATAGGGGTTATATAGGGATTATATAAGGGTTATATAGGGTTCCTTTAGGGTTTAGGGTTCCTTTAAAGGGGGATATCAAGGTTATATGGGGTTACATAGGGAGATATAGGGCGCAGAATTTAGGGGTTCCAGGGTTCAGGTTCTAGGGTTTAGGTTTTAGGGTTTAGGGTTTAGGGTTCAAGGATTCTAGGGTTTAGGGTTCAGGGTTTAGGGTTCAAGGATTCTAGGGTTTAGGGTTGCGGGTTCTAGGGTTCTAGGGTTCTAGGGGGTTCTAAGGTTTAGGGTCTAGGGTTCTAGGGTTCCAGGGTTCTAGGGCTAAGGGTTGAGGGTTCTAGGGCTCTAGGGCTTAGGGTTTAGGGTTCTCGGGTTCTAGGGTTCTGGGGTTTAGGGTTTAGGGTTTGGGGTTCTAGGGTTCCAGGCTTTAGGGTTTAGGGTTCTAGGGTTGTAGGGTTTAGGGCTTGCCTGGAAGATGAGCCCATTGGGATAATATTAGGGCTATATTGGGTTGTATTGGGATAATGGAAGATAAAATGGAAACTACTATTTAGGGTTTAGAGTTCTAGGGTGTAGGGCTCAGGGTATTGGGGTTTATGATTTAGGGTTTAGGGTCCTCGGACTGAGGCTGAAACCATGGGCCCTAGTATGGGCTATCCCTGGGATCCGTACATACCTATTACGTACCCTTAAGGGTCTATAGAATCCCCATACTTCTGAGGTTTGACTGGGAGTAGGACGGGTTGAGGGTTGCGGATTTAGGGTGCAGGGTTAGAGGCTTGGAGTTGGGTTATAGAATGCAGGATCTTGGGCGCTTCTCTCAAACATTCGTACGGGGACGAAAGTGGGGATGCTTCTCAGGGGTTACAGCTCAAGACATGAGGCATTACGGCAATGACCACAACGATTGCAAATGCTCAGTGATAGGTAGCAGGGTTCATGTACGTATCCAGTACTATGAACATTCACTATCATGACAACTGTCTTGGTTGATGTGGTTGATGCTGCTCTTGCTTGACAATCTTGCGCTGGGTAAAGGTTAAGGCTTCACACGTATTGTGTAGCATCTCAACCTTCAGGAGCGAACCAGAGGCCCGATGCTTGTCATGAAGAGCACGCTGTAGCCAAAGGTTCTACAAAGAGTAGCGACAAGCGAAAATAAAAACTCGGCAAATATCAGGTACATTCCGTCTGAGAGTTTCTGTGGATGGCTCACGTGAAAATGTATTGCGACAATGCGCAAGTGTGCTCTCATCGAGCAGCCCTTCCTGCGGGTACCGAACCTCCTGCTGGGCAATTGCAAGGACAGCAGGAACTCTTTATGCCAGCATTCAACTCGAACTACGACGATTCGGAAACCAAATACACATGTGAATACAGATCTCTCCCGTGGTTCGTATGACTGTTCTGTGCCTAAGCGAATTGGCCAGACACAATTATTCTCTGTGCTTCACGATCGCCATCACTAAAATGCAACATGTGTTTTTTCATGAGTTCGCAGCGCCTTAATAGCCCAACGCGTGTCCAAACTTTTGAGAAGCTCTACACCTCGACGCTAGGTGAACCCTGTGTAATCGCAACGAGCTCTTCAAATCTAGCAGCCTCTAGCCCGAAAGCCCGAAACTGCCGACACCAACTCATACGTCCTGCGATGGAAATCTCTCATACAACTTGGGGGCATGAGACTCTGGTTCCGCACATGAAATGGAGCCCCCCGGAACCCGTCATGACGCTCACATATGCCCAAAGTCACGAAGGATGCTCCTATCAAACCTTAAACCCTCAACCCCAAACTCAAAAGACCTCTGAAAACCCAACATGTCCTTCTACATACCATGATCTTAGCACACACAGCTTCGGAGAAAGGCCACATGCTTTGCAGCGACTTGGGCGCCGGCATGCTGTGCAGGGAGCAATTTCTCTAGGGCCTCCGGAGTTACCGTTGATCCAGGCGAGGAATTTGGGGTTCAGCAGTTAGGGCGTCTGGGTCCGGGGTTTAGGGGTTAAGGGTTTGTGGCTGTGACGTTCAGGGTTGTGAGGTTTTGAGGTTTTAAGGCTTCTGCAGCCAGAAAAAGCTTTGTTTCTGATACTCCCCTATTACATTTGATGATACACAACCCTAGACCCTAAACCCTTAAGAGGAGGGGGCTTCCCATGCCCGATGAAAGGCCTGCACGTCGTCTGCCGGCGTGGCTGGATTCTGTGTGCGATAGACCGCGACCTTGCAGATTGGCCATGGTAAGCAGAAAAGTCCTGGCATATAACCCCTATATAGATCCTATTATACCAGATTCTAGCATATTCTAACGTATTATTGTATGTTGTGGGAATGGTATATTATAGTATATTATGGTATGTTATGGTGTATTCTAGTATATTATGGAATATTATAGTATATGATACTATGATCGCACGCGCCCATCCACGGCTGAGTTTCAGCAACATACTGAGTTAAGTTCGAGAAAATACTGGCTGTTTGAACAAAACTCTCAACTTCATGGAAAGACCTAGAAGAGCAGCACGCACGGTGAGGTGAGTGATGGTAACCGTCACTGTCATGCCAAGCCTGTTAATGCGCAGACAGATCAAAACATGAAAGCGACAGAAGTCAGGACTTCGGCCTGCTTGCTGCAAAATATGTAAGAAGGGATTCTAGTTGTCCCAACCCCTAAACTCAGGACCCTATTATAGTCATAGTTATGAGGTCCTTATCACAAAGCTTGGGGTAACCAAGATCCTCCAATCATTGATGGTTTAGTATTCAAGGTCTTCCTCCAAAGGCTGGAGCCGCTTCCCCTCACACATGGAGGCCCCAGGGCACCGAATGGAGCCAGTAAACCCCAACAGCCAATAGGGAAGTGACAACCCATGGTCGTCGCTAAGTCTCGGGCCGTACTCCGCAGCAGCTCTATAGCCATGCGGGTAGGCTCACCAGGCCTTGCGATGACAGCGATCAACATAGCTTTTGAACCAAAGTGTTTAGACTCAGGGTGCCAACTACTCGCTTGTCCTAAATACTTGCATTGAAACGCGCCGCAAAATCTAGAGAACACGATGAAAACCTTGTTCTGTGGAACTAGGTGGGCCCATCGGGAAGTTTCACCTCAAAGTACCTCCGACACCTGAACCTCGGGTTCAAAACTCCCCGGACCCACGTGTTACCTTCCCTTCTACAACATCCCTGAGAGTCCTGGCATAGCTCTCATGAACCCTGCGCGGATGTCCAAAACAGAAGTTTTCATTGCAACAACCCGCCAGCTATACTCGCGAAAAATGGACATGACCCTAAACCCTGAAAACCGAGCTCTAAGCAATGTTACCGAAGGAGTGTGCTCATGCCATGTACACAGCACACGCAATACAACTGGTAATTCATCGAATTTCTGGATTCAGGACACTTCAGCACAGCTTTAACCCCATAATATACTATAATATACCATTACCATAATATACTATAATACAGTATAATATACTAGAATAGGGTTTAGTAGGATCTAAGCAGCACCTCGGGCCCATCGTGCCGAAGACGGGCATTGTCTGAAACCTCAGCCACCAAGAGGTTGTAACAGTTGTAAGATCACTGCCGTTGTAAGAAAAAGTGTTACAAGGCTCTCTCTTGCAAATAAAGCTCAAGTGTAGCAGGCAGGGAAGAAAGTTAATATTCCGAAGTCATAGAGATTGATAAGCTAAGTTTCCCAGGCCCGATGGAGAAAGTTCAAGGACCTGCTGCAAGATGCGCAACGTTTATTTGTTTGCGCTCTGCGGTCCTTGCTGCTAGAAACTCCACAAACAAAGCAATAGTTTTGACATGCACCCTATGTTCTCTACATAAAGCAGCCCAGATGAATGCATACGAAAAGGCAACATCAACACACAAGAATCTTCCTACGAGTGGTCCACATGCGTGCAAATCAGACTGACTTTGGCATCTGCCTAAGAGCAGCAGGGTCTACCAAGGCTCGTGCCACTAGGCGGTAAATATTTGTGATGAAGGTTGCGGGCGGTGTGGTTAGTAGTTTTCGAAAAATTTGGGAAGTGCGACCTCCAACCAGCGTAGAAACTGCACGGTGCGACGTCTGCACAGGCTGCTTGAAGATGGCTGAATATCATTGAGGAGAAAATTTAGTTCAGCCTGCCCTACTGAAACTCGAAAGCACTACACATGTGACGCAAGACCGTTTTGCTCGAAAACTCCCTTCGTGCAGTAGAGCCGCACCGAAGCAACATCAAAATGAGCAAGGGGACATCTACCATCCCTGGACAATGCTTACAGGCCTGTGTGCGCTTCTCCTTAACTCCCTTCGGGGGACACAAACAATATCAAGCTACTTGGTGATTGTTACTAGGGAATGAAGGAATGGACAACACTGAAGTGAAGTAAGTGGAACCTAGCAACTAGTAGGTGCGGGGTTTAGGGTTTAGGGTTTAGGGTACATTACTCATATTGGGGATCATATAGGGGGCTATTTTGTGGGTTCATATGTTCTTTTCCATGTCTCCATTCCTGTCTAACAAGCAACAGGTAAACCCTACACCCGGTTCATCCCTATAGCCCCTTGTCTCCATGTGAGCCATAATCTAAACTCCTAGTATCCCCTTTAATAACCCTACAGTACTCCCCCGTATAACCCCCTTCTAAAGGGGGCTTAGACTATAGACTATAGCTCATGTAGTTTTCGATTGGCTTGTCCAAAGCAAAGGGGCTGCAGGGCGCAGTGGGTTGCGATGTGCTCCGCCAACTCAATCTTCCCCAGGCCTTGGAGGCTCCTAATTTTGGGAAACCCTAGACCCTGTAGACCCCTATATAATACTTTTTATGTAACCCCTATATCTCCTTTAAAGGTACCCCTGACTTTGGTCTGCTTCCTGGCTGAGTTTACGGATTGGGATTTGAGGCTTAGCGCTGAGGGTCTGAAGGGCTTAAGTTAGGTAAGGCTTAGTAAGGGTTCAGGGCGTAGGGTTCTAGGGCTTACCGTTGCGGTAGCTTTTCGAGGGCAAGGGCTTGGGGTCAGGGTGTTGGGTTGAGGGTTGCTGGCTTTGAGGTTTGTAGCTTTCGGTCTTTGGCACTGATCCTTTTCGGTAGGGCTTTTGCCCAAGGCTTTTTTTCTGAGGTGGTATAAAGCTGGCTGTAAAACTTTGAGGAGATATGGCTTACACTTACGCGAGATGCACAGAAAGCCCGCAAAACTTGTCTACCTGAGAGCGCGAGAAGCCTATTACGTTTCGTAGCAGTTCGACAAACGGTTATGTGTCAGACCTACGGTCTCCAAGCACCAAACCCAAAGCCCTAATAAAACCCTTAAACCCTCAAATCCTGATTATAATGCAGTACCCTTACAGGGGGGTCTATTGCCCTAAATCCATCCCAGGTCTAAGCTCAAGGCCCGTAGGTCCTTCAATGACCACCAAGCCTCCCTCAGCGAAGGGGCTGTTCGCCGGAGCCTCCACAATCTGAAAGTTGTTGGGATTGGTCGCCTATAAAATAATAGGGTATATACTGCGGTTATATAGGAATGATGGAGAAGAACATGGAAGCTACTATTTCGGGTTTAGGGTTTAGGGTGTGGGGTTTGGTGAGGGCTTGGAGTTGTGTCGGGATTGCGCATGTTCACCCGTCATGGTATTATATGCCGGAATCAGCAATTTATTACTCAGTTAGAACATGACAAATGAGGCCGAGAGTTCCGCAACGGTATGGAAGCATTGAGCTTCAGTGTTTGGCACCTCAAGATTGCAAGATTCTGGGGACCCTTTCTACAATCGTCCAATCTTGCCTTTAGGTACTGAAAGTCAATACTACAAGACCTTTAACTTTGAATTCGAGATTCCAATAAACTTCAATAAGCCGTCCCCCAGAAACTTGAAACTCTAAGGGGTAGGAAAACCAGGTACCGGCGTGCCTCGCGACCGCAAGGCCGCAGCACATAGGATTTCGACATACTTCTTGGAAACGTGCACGTTTTCTAGGGTTTGGGGAGACATCATGTCGGTGAGGGCCTCATCACAAGAGCTAGAAATGCTGTAATTACCACTGCATCCAAGACCGACGTGCAGAAAACACTGCGAGGAGAGGGGATTTCAGAAGGAGGCAACGCTTGTGCTCCGAGCA